CCTGCTCTGAACCCCAGTCTCCACAAGAAGCAAAGACTTGCAGCTTTCAAAGGTAGCCAAACATCTAAAAGGTCTTCCAAGAAAACACTAGGCATTGCACAAATGAGCACATCTGAAGTTACCCGTAGGGCCTCTAACTCACTCAAGGCTGGGCCAGGAAGGAAAGTTCATCAACAGCACACATGTGCCACAATTAGGTCCAAGAATGAGTCTTGGAAAAGTTGCTTTGAAGCCACAGGAAGCTCTTGATTAGTGAGAATCTAAACATCTGAAGAATTATAGTCATTAGAATGTCTTTTTACAGTCCTAAAAAATCAATCATGTTCAGAATGATGACCCCAACATACAAATCAGAGTATCTCTTGAACACAGTTATATCGACTCTGTCAAAAATGTGCAGCATCGCTCAGATGCTCAGAGTTGATCCTTCACCCTTCATCCCTCTTTCTTTTGCCTGGTGAACTTTCTCAGCCTTTGAAACTGAGTTAGTTCCTGCATGACCATCTCTAACAACATACTCTAATCCTGAAAGACCAGATTGGAAGAACTGCTTGCTCTCCTTATGACCAGGGCAATTTGTTTCTACCTATTTGTACTTCCCGTTACCTTTCCGCCTCCCGGTCTAGACTGTTAGAGAATGGATTCCACTCATCTGTATACCCCCAGCCCCTAGTGCTCCTCCTGGCAGGTCGACGTTTTGCAAATGTCGGCTGAAAGAAGGAATCCAATCAACCAAGAAGATATCGCCATGCCTTGAGCATGCCATGCAGTTCATGCCTTTGCTCATGCTGATTCCTTTCCTGGGAAGCCCCTGCTGCATTTCCTTGCCAGCTCAGAAAATCTCCTGCTTGTAATACTGTAGAAGCTCATTCCTTCCTCACCCAACACCTCACACAGGACTAGACTACTCTGTGCTCCATGAAACCATACTCAGGTCATAGTAGAGGTCCATTGGGTCTTTCTGGCTCAATGATGGAGTCTAGAGGACACGTGTTGCCTTAGTCATCTTCTGTGGTCCCAGCACAGTACAAGAGACATAGGCACACCCTGTAAGCTTTTCTTAACAGCCCATTATCCAAGTCGGGACAGTTATTCTAATCTTGTGTTATTCCTTCCTTCCTTAGGCAATTAATACTAATAAGACAATCCTCTTGCAAGAAAAATGCCAAACACTGCCTCATGCTGATATGATCTGAGTTTACAAGCACTTTTTGTTTTCCTAACAACAACAAATAAGGTTGTTGTCCTATAGAAAGCCAATCATGTTATCAAGGAAGTTAACCTTTCTTTCAATATTTACTTTTTTGCATTATGAAGAAAACATGCAAAAAAAAAAATTAAGTTCTTACATTAGTTCTCCTCCTTGGAATAAGAATGTAAGAGAATCCACATTCAGTATTCAGAATCTCTTGGGAGGGGAAACTTCAAGATGAGATGCATCGTTAAGTAATACTTTGAACAGACAGCAATCCCAACCAATCACTCTTGGCAATAATAGAAAAAGTGACACCACTGACCATGTTTTACCAATATCCTAGCAAGAATTTTTTCACCTCAAATTGGTAATTTAAGACCACCACCAAAGAGGTCAACAACAGCAAAGATTAAAACCAGAGTTGTCCACATTTAAGCTATCTTTGCTCCATTATGCTAGTGTTCTAATCAGAAGATCTAAAAAAAAAAAAAGTGATAAATCAATTTCTGTTGTTTTCAGTACTTCTCCCAGTGAATGCTATTCTTTCATGATGGTTTCAACAGTTTGTTCATTAATCATTCATAGATTCATAGGGCATTTTTTTCCCCTTTTTTTAATTCAAAGTTTTTCCCCTTTGGAGGCCAGAAATTTTCACAATTACTATTTAAAGATCAGCAGCTCTCTAACATATCTGGCATGATGTTTTAAGCAGAACAGTTTAAGAAATCTTTATGATTGCTACAACAAACTTCACAAAATTAACCGCTATTCAACAAGTTGATTCTAAAAGAAAGGGATTAATGGTTTGTTAGAGGCTACTTCATTATAGAGAATGTTGACTGAGTAAATTCTCTCCCCATAGTAACTTTTTTGGAATTAAGCAAATTCTCTCCCCACTCTTGACCCTAGCCACCACCCAAAAAAACCCAGGTAGGTTGAATTTTCCCCTTAATGCTGGGCACCTTAAAACTTTTGCATATTGATTCCAGCAAAAGTACTTGAGAATTTACTCCTAGTTTTTCATGCACCCTTTTAGCCTATAGTGTCTTACAAGAAAAAGAAAACAAACGGTCTAATTTTGAACATATTCACAAGGGAGGGGCTTACTAAAACGGCCAACTTTAACACATGTAAAAAGGGCTGCGATCAGGGAAGTTAAACTATACTGGTCTTAATGTCACTCGATGAACCTCAGTCCACATATATCACTTTTTACATATTCAGGCCAAAACTTTGACTTCAAAGAAACAATTCTACCGTGGATGTTAAGTCTCGGCTATGCTTAGTACTTTAAAATGGCAATCCATGCATCATCCGAAGTGTTTGGATACAACTTCTGAAATTTTGAGGCTCTTTTTAAGAAAATGAGGAAGACAGTCAACCAGGAAAGGCAGACAGTACAGTGACAAAACGAAACCAATCGAAACAATCACACACAGCACAGAAACAAAACCAGACTTGGGGATCAAGAGCTCTGGCCTGGGCATTGTCGTATAAAGTTAGATAAATTTGCTAAGAGACTCCGGGCTCCTTGGTATCCTTCTCAAGAAGATGAGGGAACTGGATGGTCATGCGCAGTCTTGGGTACCCTCCTACACTTGGGGTTCTGTTAATTCCTCAGCTGAACTCACTCCCCCGAGGTTTAATTTGCAAACTGAGCACTGAGTCATCCTTGGGGCCGGCAGGTGGCGTGGTGGTTAAAGCGCTGAACTCCCACATGGCCAACTAGGATTTGTGTTCCCGACCCAGTGGCTTGAAAATCACACCAGGTTATGTGAGTGTGACCAAAACCCCCAGAAGAGAATGGAGGAGAAGGGACTTAGGTGTGGCCATCGCTCCCGGGGGGTGACCTCTCACTTTCCCTCTTTCTCCAGTGGGTGCATGTGCCCTATGGCAAAAGCCTTCTTTAAAAAAAAAAATCACTCTCCAAAAGCAATGTAAAACAACATATGTACTCAATGGCCAGGTCGGGCCTGTAGGGAAGGTCTTGTTTGCTTTTATCACACAGAATACCTGACATAGTTCGTTTCAGTTTTGGGTAATTCTCTGGTAAACCGGAAACACCCAATTCTTCAAATTACTACAAATATGCCCCCCAGAAGAGCTTCCAAGTATGCTAATGAGAAACAGGGATGCATGCGAACGTGTTCTGGCTGGACAGGCACAGGAGAGCTGGGTGCCTGCGCTCTTAGATTCTGGTACCACAGGTGTGAAACAAAGACCACTTGTTTCTTAGAAAAATGGCAGAAGACTGTGGCAAGCCAAACAGCTTCTTCACTTAGGTCTGTATTAGATCAGTGTAAGTTTTCTGGCCCCTACTTAAGAAGATCTGATTTCACTGAGATTCTTGCAGGTATAAGCTTATCTCCAGGGGGAGAAGACCACTGAGGCCTGCCAGGTGCTTCCTCAAGGGGGCTGACGGGGTGTAGGGAGGATGGACAGAAAACAGCTGTGGTCAACAGCGCACACAAGGCAGTTTAGCTAGTACCTGTCCAAGTCTCACGGGAGAGGTAAAAAGTTAATGATAAGTGATTTAGTTAGATCTTCATTTAGGTTATTACTCATTTTGGGTGGCTACCAAGCTCAGAGCTGTAGCCAGCCTTCATAAGTAAAGCCTTTGTTTTCTTATTACCTGTCGTCTTTGCATCTTAATACTTGGGGAATGAAAAGCACTTGAGGCCACAATGTATCTTGGGGGCACAGTTGGAAATAACTTAGCTGGAAAAGAAACGTTACTCGAAGTAGGATTATTGAAAATGCTCTAAGTCATCTCAAAGAAGAGTCTAATGTTAGGGCAGGTCTTACCTGGTTGTTCTGTACAGAAGAGTAATAAATCACCCGTGGGTGTACCTCGTGACTTACCTCCAGGGCAGATTCATCTATTTTGCTTGTCTATACAGCTGATTGAAAAGCTTTAGAAAAACTCCTATCATATACTGTCTGTGCAAGATTATCACAGTCAACTATAGACACGCACCAAGAAAACCAAGAACACGGTACATCTCCATCCAGGGCTCAGGCCCGAGACTCCCAGCTGCACATGGAGTGTTTGGTTTTAAGGGGTTGCAAAGGGGAAAGAGAGTACGTAGGGTTTGGAATAGCCTGTCCTTCCTCCCCACCAACTTACTTACAGGGGCAAAGCATTTATCTTATGGACGGGGAGGATGGGACAGTTTTCTGTAGACGGAGCTCAGTGAGACCCACGGTCATGACCATATTGTCGGCTGTCTGACCCCCAGCACCTGCGATGATGCTTGGACTGGGGCAGCCACTCAGTGAGCATCTGTCAGATGAAGGAATTATCAAACGAAGGAACCAAAAAGGGTTTTATCACAACTACGGTTTATCCCAGGATGCTGAATTTAAATATCTTGGGTAAAGATCTGACAAATCTGAGGGCTAGGAAGCAAAATGAGAAACAGAACTTTTAATCTTCTCTAAGTGCAAAAAAAAAAAAAAAAAAGTGTAGCTTTATGCATGGTGTTTTTTTGTACAGTACTTCACTGAAATATTTGCATTTTCCCATTTTTTGGTTTTGTTTTTTCATACTGAAACCCTGTCCTTAGCAGCACTGAGAATAGCGCCATAGCCTTATCTTGTATACCAGGTCCTTAGTAGCCTTGAAAGGACAGCCATGATCTTATCTTCGAAGGGGGAGAGGGAGGGACAAGGGGATGCTGGTAGAGTGACTTTGATTCTGCTGTCTTGTTACCCCTTCTACCCAGGTGGAGCACTTGGGAACAGAACGGCACCGTATTTCCCTCATTTGGGGGTGTGTGGAGAAGGATTGAATTTTATTTCTTTACCTGGTCCTTCAGTTCCGACAGCTGGCCAGAAAGATTAGTGACGAGCTTCATGGTGGACTCCAACTTCTCCTGCAGGTTCCTCAGCTCATTCTGTTCTCCTTCAGAATCGCTGCTGACCAAGGACATGGCTCGCATCCTGGGGAACCAATCAAGGTTTCTTTCCTGGAACAATTTATTTTTTTTAAAAAAAAAGAAAAGGGAGTCACTTCTGGGGGTAGGAACAAGACAGGCACGCTAACTGTCATTTTTTTCTATACCACCTCTCAGGTGACTTCCTTCTTCCGCAGAACTAAGGTGCTTTGTATTTTTACAGAAATGTTTGGTAACTCTCTTTTTAGTTGAATATCCTGTAATTCTCTATTCTTACATGAGGAAGTCATTTTAAAATTCAATACAGGAAAAAAAGCAGGTTTCTAAACAAGACTCCTAATCTGCAAATTTGGATATTGCAACCCTGATCTGTACAAGTCACATGGCTAAGTTTTATTTTGTTTTAAGTTGTGATAAAATATGCATAACATGAAACTTACCATTTTAACTATTTTTAAGTGTACAGTTGGGTGATTTAGTCCATGCTCACTGTTGTCAACCATCACCACCATCCCTCCCCAGGGCTGCTTTCATCTTCTCCACCTGAAGTTCCATCCCGCCCCCGTCTCCTGACAGCTGCCATTATACTCTGTCTTTGTCAATGTCACTACTGTAGGTATCGCTCATTGTGCTGTGTATCTTAAAAGGCATTAGATAGGAAAACTGCAAACCCTCTGGAAATAAAATGGATTCTAAGATCCCGAGTGTTCTGGCCTTTAACAAACACACCTGCAATGCTGGCCCCAGCGTGGGTAAAAGGCTGCACACGGAGAACAGGCTCCTCAGTCTATCTCCCTGGTCCTGAGCTTACGGAAACCACTCCACTAGTCTTGCGTCCTTCCTTCCAGCATGAAATGGTCAGGGGGTGCTCTCTATCAGGGACGAAAGCCCACACAGTATCCTCCCGTCTACCACCTGCCTTTAGATGGCTCCAGCTCCGACCTGTGTGCAGTGCTTCTCACCTGCTCTCCCCTCACTTCCTTCAGCCCACGTATGCTTTTCTCCCCACGTGCATGCCTCATACCTGTGTTCTCTACGGGGAGGCAGAGATGGGCAGGGAAGAAAGCTTCCTCAGCACGAGACAAAAGGAACAAAATGGACTCATGCCAGCTCTGTTGCCATTCTCATTTGGGAAATTTTGACCTTGTTAGGATGACTTTAATACTTTCTAACAAAAAATCACGTACACACACACGGACAGAATTTGTCACTATTGCTCTGTGTACATCAACGGTCAGCAACATTTTTTCTGTCTAGTAACTATTTTCTGGTAATACTCGTGGCTTTGTGGACCAGATGGCCTCTGTCACAATACCTCAACCGTCTATTCCTGTAGCCTCCAAACAGCCACAAACAATCTATAAGCAAATGGGTGTGCCCATGTTCCAGTAAAACTGCATTTACAAATGCTGGTGGGCAGGCTGGGTTTGGCCCGTGAGCCAGAAGTTGTCAGCCTCTGTTGTATTTAATAGAAAACATCAGTGTACTTTTGAAATTCCATGAGACATGTCAAAATATTACAAATCAAGGGAGATGATCAGGCTACATCTTCACCCCAAACAATCTAGCTACAGAGAAGACATTTAACAGCCCAGCCTAGAGGTGCAGTCTGCAGCGTACTGATCTTCGCCTGGAAGCCATGCGGCCAGCTTGGAGTGTGGATCCTGTGTCTCCCTGAAACACACCAGGCACATGCACGCCCAAGATCCTGACTAGCTGGAGGGCCGGGGGAAGGAGACTGCAGTGTGACAATACCCTGTCAAGGGCCCCTCTCCGTGAAAGAAGGGCTCTCTCATTTAAAAAAAAAAAAATTAAGCCATTGAAGAACTAGTTAAAAATGATTGCCAAAAAAGGCAGGAAACTGGCACATTACTGCAGAACATTTGCGTGAGACGTCTGGGAAGCCCAGTAGGCAGGAACTCAAGAGCCCACCGGCATCATAAGGGCAAGCACTGCCTTAGCATAATGACCAGAACACAGTGGACACTCGCTAAATGTCCACCGAAGGATGGGAAGATACTCATTTCTGCTTCCCACGTGGGCTCCAATAACAAATGCTTACACAGTACAGCTGAGTTGCTCACAATAACTGCTGGAGGGGAAACTGGCGACCTCTACCCTCCCTATACCCTGAGGTCGACACTCAGGGGGTCCTTCACGTTCCCTTTCACACTTTCACCAGGTTCCCACCACAGAGCACTGGGCAAGAGATCATTCATCACAGCATCCCATTTCAAAGATGACGGACTCAAAGATCGGAAGCGTGTCCCATCTAGAATCAGTTTTCTGCTGAGCAGCTGGGGTGACCTATCCCCGTTGACATTCATGGCTCCCATGCCTTCAGACACTGCCTCCTCTCCCCACCCAGGAAATAGCCCACGTCCAAGGTCTGTGCAACTCCGAGGGAGGAAGGACCCCCATTCAGTAGAGGGCACACATGGTGGCCAGCTGGCTGGTGAGCACTCATTCCCACCAGGGCAGATCAGCCTCTAGGAAGGGAAGGGGGAGTGGCCAGGCCACTGAGCCACCCACCCAACGCACAGTTGCAGAGAGGTCAGGCAGCCATCCATGGTGACTGGCCACAGAGGAGGAGAACAAATGTAAAAGGAGAGACCCAAAGTCCCACTTAAGCTGCCAAACTCTGGGGCGCGTATGGACACACCATCACTGGGATGGGATAGCAAGCTAGGAGGGAGTGAGAGCTCTCCGATCCCACCACTTGCTCTATAATGCAGGAGTGAGCAGGACAGGCTCATTCCTATTTTTCAAAGGGGATTCTGAGATTTTTCTATTGCAGTTCTTACAAACTGTAAACTGCTATAATTGAGGATATTTTGAGGAGGAGGGGATATTTAGTACTTTTTTTGAACTCAAAAGGTCTAAGGACTATGAGCTCTCTTAGGGAAAAGTAGTCTTAGCAAACCTAACAGGTTCAACAGATACTGAATTGGGGAGCCCCTGATTGCTATGCCTGGTGCCAAGAATACTGCCGTAAGTAAGCACACAGACAAGGTCACTGCATGCTGGCCGCCTTTGAAGTACAAATGACTTGGACACTTACCTTGGAAACAGGGTTCCTGTCATAAAAGCACTTGCAATTCAGCTAAGGAGAATGGGTATCAAAAAAAAATTTTTTTTAATGGAATAACAGGGGCCAGTTAGTGGTGTGGTACTTAGAGCAGCTGGACCCACATGGTCGACCTTTTGGTTTGAGTCCTGGACCTGGTGGCCTGAGAAACATGTAGGGCACGAGTGTAGGTGCACCCTGAATCCCAGAGGAGGGAGGAATGGAAGAGAGAGGATGGTAAGGGATGGTGCACGACCATTTCTCACAGGAGGTGCTTTCTCACTTTAATTTGCCACTGCTCTCTGACAAATAAATAATAAGAATAAAAAAGTAACACAGACTATTCTGTGTCATATGAGTAGCAGAGCAGCATCACGGGCCCAACCACAGTGGTGCAGGTGGTAGGGCATAGCTGCATGATGCTAGAGCCACATGGGGGTCCCAGATTCAAATCCCAGGTTGACCTAAACATGCCAGAGGTATCCAGATGCACCTGCAATCCTGGTTGGCTGGGGGGAGGACTGTGGGATGGCGTAACCCTATCCAAGACACCTGTTTTTCCCTTCTCTCTCCTGAAAGAAAGAATGAACAACAAAAAGGAAAACAGCCGACTACCAGTGACTGAGACTGGCTAGACCTCTGTGACAGTCCTGGGCCTGAAGGAGGTCAGCACTGCTCAGACCAGGCCCAGTGAGAACATTCTCCACAGGAGTTGGCACAACGAGGTGACCAGAGTGGGAGGGGGCAGACAGGTAGGAAGCGTGCAGAATGTAGCATGCCACGGTGATGCCTGGGATGGGTCTATGTACAAGAGGGATAGGAGCGAATGGTGGGGATAAGATGAGGGAAAGCACAGGAGGGATGAGCTCCGTGACAGGTCACCCACCTGACCAGACCTGGGCGGGGGAGAACCTGGAGCTGCTTTGCAATCGCTAGACCTCACCTGGAACTAACTTGCTCCTGACATGCAAATGGATGCTGAACTGCTTAAAATGTTAGCGAATTCATCTAAAATCTGGCTCTTGGATCTTTCATATGTTCATTTGCTTAGCAAACCCTCTGTAAAAATAGACAACACAGATTTCCAAACAGAGACCACATTAATGAGGTATTCAAAAGGAAATTGATGCAAGAGACCACACATAGCTTAAACTTCAGGGACCTCTCTTTCTTGTTCTAACAAGGGACCAAGGAAGATAGGTTAAATGAGAAATCTTCTACCTTCTCTGGTGGCATGTCTGATTCCTGCCTCCCACCCCCAGCACTGATTTCAGAAAGGTTCTGAATAAAGGCAGAATGCACCAACTTCCTCCATTCACTGTTCTCAACATCCGTTTGCTGAACTTTCAGAATTTTTGTGTTCAGCTCAGGCCTGAGCAATGAGAATCTAAGGATGACAAAGACCAGGTCCTCTATCTCGTCTTTTAATGGGGTCCCTCCTATTCTTCTTTTTCTTTTTTTTGAAGAGGTTTTTGCTATAGGGCACATGCGCTCGCCAGACAGAGACAGAGAGATAGAAAGTGAGAAAAAAAGTCCCCCCCCAGGGGGGGATGGCCACGCCGCAATCCCTTCTCCTCCATTCTCCTCTCGGGATCTTGGGCACACATGCACATGCGCCCGGTGTGAGTTTTAAGCCACCGGGTCCAGGAATCAAAACGCGATTGACTACACAGGAGTCCAGCGACATAGCCATTACGCTAACTGTTGGTCCTCCACCAACCATTTTTCATGATTAGATTTTTTTCCTTTTAAGAGAGATTTTTGCCATAGGGTACATGTGGTCACTGGAGGGAAGGAGGGAGAGAGAGAAATCACCCCCCAGGGAGAATGGCTACACTGAAATCCCTTCTCCTCCATTCTCCTCTCAGGACCATGGGCAGGCA